TATATATATATAATTTTATTTTATGTTGCTATCATGGTATTTTATTTTTTCTAGTTAATGATGTTAAATATGTTGATTCTAACTTGGCTGTTGTCAGCTCTGCAACCTTGGAGCTTAAAATGCTGAACGAAGTGCGTGGGTGCTTTGAACATGGTTTTGACAATGATTTAAAAGTAAAAAAAAAAAGGTGAAAATGTGGTTACTGCAAATAAAATCTGCTATTGCTGAGTGTTTTTTCTTCTTCATCCTGCAGACTAGCAGCTACTGAAGAGGATCTGACACAGGTACTGAAACAAAGAAGCAGCTTGTTTGTATATTAAATAAATAATCAAATCTTTTGAAGTGAATGGAAATGAATATCTTTTTGAAAAAGAGCTTAATCTTGACTGATAAATAGTTTGATCAAGGCCAAACTGTAGTGTTTTTATTCTAAAACAACTACGTTATTTATTAACATTTACATCACTCTCTACCTCATGTCACAAATTAATGAGTTTGATTTTTCCTTGGTGTTAAAAAGTAAATGTGCCGGTTCTTCATTAAGGAAGTGCTTATTACTTGCACTTAGTCCCAAACTGTCAAAAACAGCATGGTTTATAGCCAAACCACTAAAATAAAAGCAGACTGTATGTTGGTACCAAGAGGAATTCAGACAGGCAAGAAGTGTGAGGGGCTCTCAGAGGAGACAACAGTTGTTCTGACAGAACTGTCATGAAAATCATGATTAAAGTGTCAAACAAATGCTACAGCTAACTGCAGCTGTTGAAAATAACCCTAGAATTATACGAAATAATGTACAACAAAAATGTGATGTAATGTACAAAATTATTCTTGCAGGAATTTCTTAGAAATTCTTTGAGACTGTAGTCATGAGTTTTTTTTTCTGAATTCTGCATTTTGGATTCCCCTCCACGTTTAGGTTATCTCGCTTTCTATTTCTATTCTTCTTTTCTGTTTCTGATTGTGCACCAGACACTGTATATTTGTTTTAATTTTTCATCCAATGTCCTTTTAGGGGCTCAGTAAAATCGGGCAAAAATTTAGCACAGTTATCCTGCAGCGTGAACCAGGCCTAAGACACTTATTGTTCACAGCTTAACTGGGGTCCTAGGACCTCCAGGGGTCCGTGAACTATATCTTGGGGGTCCTCAAAAAATGTCAATAAACTGTTAATTTGTTTTTTATTGTCAACAATGCATATGGGGAACAATCCACTAGCAAAACAAACATGCCAAACCAAACTGAACAAAAATATGATTTTCATGTAATTTAGGGGTTTAAAATATTTTTAAATCAGCACAGGATTTATGAGGGGGTCCCTGGAATTTTTTCACCCTTGTAAGGGTCCCTGAAAAGTTTGAGAACCCCTGTTCCAGAGAACCTCACTTTAATGACTCTAAACCAGGAGTTTACAAGCTATAAAGCCAAAACAGCCATTTATAGCAGTAAATGGTGCTAGAACAGTGATCATCAACTTCCAGTTGGCTGGAGGTAGGGGCTTGTGGGGTGGGAGCTGGTGACATTTTTTTCAAATCATTATTGGTATTGATTAAACATTTGACCGTTTCATTGTCTTGCAGGATTGTGCGAATTAGTTCTCTCAAATATGCCGAGAGCTCTGATTCTGGTTCAACATACTGAACAACGACTCAAACTGTCAGCAGCGAGCTGAACAAAGATGTGGACAGACGGCCAGGACTCAGAGGACGTTGCTTCGTGGAGTCACAAAGGAGCACAGTGACTGTTAGATGCAGACAGCACCTATCTTTCCTCTTTATACTGGAACATAAAACAGTACAAAACAAATCCTGATCCTGCGACTATCACTGGTGGGCGGCAGCAGCAGACATGGTGCCAGCCCCATCACTGGAACCGTCTGTTTCTCAGGAAACGATGGAGGATCTGAACAAGTTCCCGCCTGGTGTACGTTTCAAAGAGCCTTCTGCAATAATACTCACCATTCACCACAGAGCATTAAGAAATCCTTGTGTTGCAAATAGAGGGTGTTGAAGAGACAGAACATGTCACAAATACAGAAAAGAACAGCATTTATCATTTATAGTAATCAGGGACCTGCTGCTGAAAGAAACCAATTTCCAAACAGTAACATTTTAGGTTTTTTTTTATTCCTCATATTTCTAAATATTCTGGGTGTATTAAACTGGGCGTACAGTTTATTCACCTAACCTTCACCCCACACTGGTTATTATTTAACGCTGCTATAACAATGTTATTTAAATATTTCCCTTTTTTCTCTCTTTTTGCAGTGCTCTTATTTTTTTAATTCCCCCTGAAACATTTTCAGCATTAAAGCCATAAAAGTCTTTCCAAGGGTTTTAATCAAAGTCAAGTAGTTTCTTTATGTGTCAAAATATAAATGTATAATTCCAAACACGTGTCTTATAGGTTAACATAGGAAACGTCAGAAAGCAAAAATGGTGAATTCTGTTTTTTAATCTTAATATTTAACTGAACCTAGTTTTTCTGTGATTCCTGAAGGAAAATGGTCATGCTATTATATGTAATCCTTACTGTCAATAAATTACGCAATAATAACATAACAAAACAATTTGTAACAAAAAACGTTTTCAATGACATATTTGTTGACTAAATGTGCAACACACCTCACATCTCACATTTCAAAGTGATGGTTTGGTTCAGTCCAGCCTCACAACAGCTTAGAAAAGATTTGAATAAATAAATGAATCAAAATATTTCAAGAACCTAAAGACAGCCTTTAAACAAAAGTAATCACACACAAACTCCAGCAGTAGTATCAGCTTTAGTCTGAGTTTCACTGAATAAAATCTGAAATAATCTCCAACAAATCTCCCAAATGACAAGTGGTTTTAGCTTTTAAGCATTCTGTTGAGACAATCCTTAAACATCTTTAACTGAACGCCAGGATATAAATAAATAAATAAATAAATGTGGTGTCTTGTTTTCTTCAGGTAATCATTAAATAAAGTAATATATTTTAAAGTAACTTTTACCTACTTCAATAAATTTGCTATAGCTTCTAAACATATTGGAGCATCAATATTTTGCCATCTTATATTTAGTCTGAATCAGTGGTGCCTAACCCTGGTCCTGAAGGTTAACGTTGTTTCAACAGGTTTTCAAGTTCTGCAGAGGTCTGATAATCACTCATTCATTCAAACCAGGTGTACCAAAACAGAAAAACAGCTCAAGTATTAGATGGTTAGCCTTATCAAAATATTTTGTATCCTTGATTTCTTGTTTGACTGGATGAAACTTGGGCGCAAAGTTCTTTTGTTCATGTTTCTTTTCGAGGACCAGGTTTCGACTCCGCTGCTCTAAATTAGAGTAAAAATGCCACTTGTTGACGCTCAATGCACTCCTTGTTACTAATAACTATAAAGACAAACATTTTTACAAACAGATTTATAAAATAATTTTATTATTTTTTAACAAAAATAAATCTTTGTCATGGAAATATGCCAACCTGTTGTTATTATATAAAAAAGAATATCTTCAAAAATCACTTTGTTGAAACAATTTATATTTTTGTGTGTATTCTATCATAGGGTTAATCAATCTAGATCACTAAAAGTTTGTGATACAGTCTACTGTTTGAAAGGCATTTTCAGCTATTTTAATTTCACTATGAAGTCCTAGAAAATAAATGTAAATTTGGACAAAAGCAGAAATTAATTCAGAAAATCACAACTAAGTTTAAAAATAATACTAAAATGCTTTTTAAATCAACTTATGTAACAAACATTTAAAGTCAACATTTAGTCTATAAATGAATGTGTTTTAGTTTATTAAGTGTAAAACTCTAGTATGATAGAAAACTTGAATCTTTCTTGATGTTAGATTTTTTTCAAACACACTTAGTTAAACAAACAGGACCAGCAAGGGTTAATTTATGGTTTTCTCTGGTGTGTTTTTGAGCATATTGACATAAAAATATATTACCAACTTTATTATTATATTTGTTTTGAATAAATAAATAAATTGATAAATAAAAATAAAGGAACACCCTCATTGTGACCAAAGAATTTGTTACAAATTGGTAGATTTTGGAAGCGTAGAGCTCTCACATAAAATAAAATTACTGTTGGACTGTATTTTATAGAACGAGAAACTATCATTAAAAACAATCTTGTTATAATGAGAAAATATCTAAAAAAAACCCAACAACAACAAGGAAACTATCTGGTCCTAACATGCTACGGTTTGCTGTCGACCGTGGAGATGACAGTGCCTGGAGGACAGGAGAGCAGAAGAAGTGTAGGACTCATTTTTTGTCTTATTAGAACAGGTTGGAAGATGGTTATTTGATTTTATTTATTGATTTTTTAACGTCCTACAGGCTCTGATGTGTTAAATTAATTTGAAACTGAGGTTTGGAAAAAATCCGTAAAATTTGAAGAAATCTGTGAGATTGTGAGATTCATCCGTATATCTGCAAAATGAGGGAAAATCCGTGTAAATTACAGACAATCCGTTCAACTTGACATGTATGAAATTGTGTAATGTTGGTCGTTTTTACAGCATAGTTTTTCTTGGTATAACAAGACACAGCTTAACAATAATTTAATTTCATGTGACAACTCTACGCTTCCATAGGTTATTTACAAAAAGTTAGCTATTATTAGTTCATAAATTTCCTGCAGAAAGCCACTTCAGAAAGTCTAATCTGGATTTATTTCTGCTTGCCTGGAGTTCTGAACGAAAGCAAACTATTTTGAATTATTTCTCTGGTTGGATCTGATGAGTAAAACCCATTATTTATAAAAGCAATCCCCAGTTGTGGAGGTCAAGTCTACTGCAGGTACAGAGTATGTTTTATGCTCTGCGTAGTTAACAGCCTGTAAACAAAAACAAAAACAAAAGTCACTGATCTGAAATAACTGTGAAACTGTCCCTTTACTCTTCTCTTAATATTCTGCTGCTTTAGCTCTCTTGCCTCAGTACCAATCAGTGGCTTTTGGCATTTTGTTGTGCTGCCTGTCTCCTTCTGTTTTATCAGCCCTCCCTGCCCTTTCTGGTTGTTCTGACTGCATGTGATGAATGTCACTTTCTTTGCCCTGTTCTTTTGAACAGGGACAAAGGAGCAGAGTGGATGATTAAAGTGCTCTAATGTTCTTTACAGTAAAATATGTTTGGATCTTTTGCAGCACAGCCCACTGTCTGAATGTAGAAGCTGGCGTGACCTGAGAAGAAACACAGTTTTAAAAATGTATCGTAGTTAAGATTTTACTGCTGTCTTACAGAGATAAAAAAGGTTTGACCTCTTTCATGTCTATAAATTATGGCTAAGGCCAGCAGAAGGATTTTATTTATGTTTTAAACCATCAGGTTGGGTGAAAATTATGTATAAAAGGACTTAATGTCAAAGAGAATTGGTTTAATTATTGAAAACTACACACTGGAAAGGTCAGAGGTGGTCGTTAAAAATTCATTAGCATCTCGTTAATGATTGCTGGTTGATTCAATTATTTAAAAAAACAGAAATTATTAGTTTTCCTTATGCAAAAAAAAAACTTATCTTAATGTGTATCTTAGCATTTTTCTGTTAGTTTTTAAAACATTTTGTATTGTAAATAGACCTTTTTTCTTAACACATTCTCATTTCATGATTTTCTTGGATTTTTTTTATGCCTCGAGTTTTTGTTTAAAAACATGTTTTGTTTTGTACTGAAAAACATAGTTTTACATCTGATTTTACAAAAAAGAAGAAAAAGGAACACTGAACAATCCAATCATGTTGCAAGAATCTACTTTGTAAATCACTACATGTTTGTAAATCTCTAATCCAGATTAAAATGGTGTCACCTGCCTTGTGATTTTCTGGGTTCCACACCTTTCCACTAATAATTTGTTTCATGCTGCTTCAGAAAGGAGTTTGCTAAAATAAATAAATAAATAAATAAATAAATAAATAAATAAATAAATAAATAAATCACCTTAACATAAATAAAAAATAAACAAATAAATAACAAAACTTAGAACCTCATGCAATATTGTGAAATGATTCACACTTGCTTTGTTAAGTAGAACCAGTTGACATAATTTTGTTTAGTGAATCCAACCTATCTGTTTTTTAGTGTATTAGCTTAGTATCTGTAAAACCGAGTTAATTTTGTGTTAGCCAAGGTCTAGCTGTGTGAGTTGGTTTGAGTCCAAATTGAACTAGACATGGGTTTTTACGATGTAAAAACAAGAGTGCATTGCCTTGCAGCAATGGACTTGCAGAATGAACTGTGACCAAGTTCAAATGTGTTTTCTACACCAGCTTTTGCTTGTCAAGTCAACAGGTGTCTCTAATAAGGGTAACTGTGTGACAATACGAATTTTGTAGAGATTTATCTGTTAAAGTTGCTTTAGCTGGGTTTTGAACCCTGCTCTCYCACATGAAAGYCCATGGCACAGACCATTAGACCATTGGAGCTGTGGCAGAAGATGGTGCCAGGGGTTGATTTGTATGTGTGCAGAAAGAGGCCACATTGCCAATACAATTATTGACACTAAACTGCATAATATTACAACAATAGAGCAGTATTAAGACAACATTATAGTAAAACATCAAAATACAATCATATTAGTATTGTAACCACTGAACTATTGAGATCAAATAATATTAAACTATGGTTCAGTACTGAGTAGATACAGCAGGGGGCAGTATTGGACCAATGCAAGGCTCTATTGACTCCCATTACAAATTATTAAACATTAATATTTCAAAAAACTATAAGTTGTACAGGCACCAAAAGGCATAGCCATCATTTGGCACAGGAGCTTTATAGACATAAATTACAATAGCAGCTCTAGGGCAAAGTATGCAGGAGGAGAAGCGTGCCAAAGTGGAGATGACTTGGATGGGAAACGAATCACAATAGTGTGCATTGCATTGGCAATGCACAGTGATAACATTTGGACTCAAACCAACTCACACAGCTAGACCTTGGCTAACGCAAAATTAACTCAGTTTTACAGATACTGAGCTAATACATTAAAAAACAGATATGTTGTAAGATCCAATAATTATAAGTGTAGATCCAAGCGTAGACCCAATATTTATACTTCGAGAGTTTCATTAAAATCCAGCCAGTGTGTCATGAGATATTTTGCTAACAGACAGACAAAGACATAAGAAAAAAAATTCGTAATCACCTGCGTTTCACCTTTAGGAAGCAAATAATAATAATTTGTCAGTGCAAGAATTTCTTCTTTTTACACAAAGGTTATAATTAATGTTTATTGTTAAAAACATAAATGATTTACTAATGAATTATTTGCTAACTACTTATTAATTACCAACAATAAAACTAGCTAACAATTTCATGATAAATAGTTCTAGAATAAGTGAAATCAAAATCCCAGTCAAATAAGGTGAGAGTGTTGAACCATCAGCAGAAAATGGATTCTCCTTAAAATTTCAGTGTATTGCCAATAAATATCAAGAACTTTAAATTTGTTTTTGTTTGTTAATCCAGTCTTTTGAATAAATTTATTATTTTGAAATGAAGTGACAAAAAATTCTTACTGGAATGTTAACAAAATATTACTTAATCATAAAGAACTGATCAATTTTTACCATCAGGATTATTAAC